TGAGTACGAAAAGTAAAGTTTATACATGCGTACATCACCAATTTAATACGGAAACTTACACATTTTTAGCAATAACGTACATTGTGCATACACTTTGTAGCGAAGAAAAAAACAAAACACAGAGATAGAGAATTGTCAAATCGAATTAAGAATGTGCACGTGGGAATGGTATAATTCGTGATCGTAATAGGAGGAGCGAACAAAGTAATTAAGCCGTGGAAAAGCCGTATTATCCTTTACAACACTGAAAGACTAGCTAACGACGCGTCTTCAAAGGAGCAAATTATTGCCTACCATATGTCATTTTGTTTGCCAAATATGTATAAGTTTTGTCAGTGGCAATATTTGTGTGTGGGTAAGTTTCATCTTGATAAAAGCATTTGTAAGGTGGCTTGAAACCTTTGTTGGAAATAAAGCAAAACTCAGATTTTGGTGTTATTTCCCATTTAAAAGTGAAATAAAGCAAATTTTGCGTTAGTGCCGCTTATGTATTTTAGAAAAAATCTACTTACAAAACCTTTCATTATTGAATCATGATTTTAGAGGTAGTTTTTATTTATTTTCTTTTTACAGAAACTGTGCTTGACAGCAGCAATACTGGCACTCTTGTGAAATAGGTTTTATATATATGTATTATAACTTTGTTCACATAACGGTTGTTTGTAACAGGCAAAACGAATCGAGATAGATATAGACAAATGTATACATAAATGATCAGAATGAAAAGAGAAATCGATTGAGCGGTGACTGTCTGTCCGTCTGTGCACACGATAACTCGAGTAAAAATTGAGATTTCTTAACGATAACGATTGGTACATGCACTTCTTTTGGGCGTAGAACGGATGGTATTGAAAATGGGCGAAAGCGGACAATAACCACGCCTACCTCCCATAAAACGGTAATTTTCAGAAATACGAAAACTGCGATATTTTAATAACTACTGAAGATAATTCACTCAAAATTGACATTTAGAATAACTTTTAGACGAAAAATGATAAACCATACGCAATAATTGCCATTACTTGGACATTAAAAAGCAGTTCAGACGTGAACTCGCGTCATTTTATTATTATTAGTTTTTCTAAATGGTTATAATGCCACCAGTGCATAATTGTGAAAGGAGGGGATGGGGCGGGGGACGCGAGTGCGACGTCGAAGGCGAAGCCCAACGAATCTTACCCATTTTGTCTTGTTGTCGCCAGCGAATGCAGACCAAACATTTCTTCAAATTTAAAAAGTAAAAATTCAAATACTAAAAATTTAAAAATGTTCCTAAAACTTTCAAAGAAATTTGGAAAAGAAATATCACTGTTTTTGTTCTAGGAGTAGGGTGGGAGTGTTATTGATAAAATTAGAGTGAGACAAAGTTTTTCTTACAAAAGCTTTCATTTTGGATCATGCTCGAAAACCAAAGCACATAAATACCAGGGAATGGCATAGGTTGATCGTCAACTGTTCATACTCATTCAATACCGCTGCTTTGTATGACTGAGCAGCGGCGTTGGCTTAGTAGTATCGATACCTAAACGAAATTAGAGGATGACTGAACACGAGCGCATTGCGTGCTGTCTTGCAAATACAGCCACCACAAGTGAACGATGCTTATAACTGCTCATACTGATATTGACTTCGGCAAATCTGTACTCTGAATGATCGTGCACGAAACCAGCAAACGTGGCAGTTGAACGGCTCCGAAAACATGAGAGTCATCATTTGTTGCAGAAGTCGTTTGACTTGTTGCTGAAAATCATCTGACTTGTTGCTGAAAGCCATTTGACTTGTTGCTGAAAATCATCTGACTTGTTGCTGAAAACCATCTGACTTGTTGCTGAAATGACGACGAATGTGGTAAAGGGTAATTTATCGTCTCGTATGCATGTATGTATGTATTTATAGCGCGTCTACCATTCAATTGCATTGCTCACTGCTGGCTAGTTGTGAGGAATGTGCATACGTACGTATGTATGTATGTACATATCAATGCTTCATTTCAAACAAGCAAGTGTCTTTGAATGTTTTTGAACTACAGTATCATCACTTCGGCAACACGTCAAACGCGCCTTCAGCAACAAACCAAAGGCGGCGGTTTGACTTCTGCAACAAATCAAGTTAGCTAACTGCGGCATCTTGCCTTCGCCAGTCTTTCACATAAGCTGTCATGCTTTCGGCAACCGTCCAAATGCAGTATCGTGCTTATGGCTGTCGATCAAATACGGCTGGTTTCGTGCACGATCATTCGGAGTACAGATTTGCCGAAGTCAATATCAGTATGAGCTGTTATAAGCATCGTTCACTTGTGGTGGCTGTATTTGCAAGACAGCACGCTTTGCGGTGGTGTTCGTTCATCCTCCGTTTTTAACGTGAGTAGGCTTAAAGTCACAAAAACAGCACCCTTTGCCAATGTCTGATACATACATGATGTGAAGCAAAACTCTCTGGGAAGACAATACCTGTAATTATTGTACCACGAGTAGAAGCCACGGCAATACCGCTAATCGGCTCTCAGTGAATTTGACAGAATCAGCTGTTTTGCTGACGTCACAGTCAAGATGACAGCAGTAGTGATGTGCTGAGTCAATACTTTTTTGTATCCAATACTCTCTATTCTCGGTTCCGAAACATTTAGGTCTCAAATAAAAGCGCACATAGGCCAAAAATATGGAAAAAACGGTTCAGGGGAGACTCGCCTATCAAAACTCGAATGTAGGACGCAATAATGCTTTTAATACTGATTCAAATGAAAGATTTATATATGTAGGTTCGAGGCCATAATACAGATAAACTCTTACTTGTTTGAAGCATTTTTGCTCCAGCTGAATCGGTCGATATCATTTTTGTAGGCCTGCGGGCAGATTCTGTAACCAGTTAGCGACAATTTTCAAATCGGTATCGGTTTTGTTGACGTATGATATGAAATATTTTGACGTCAACAAGTGTGATATCGATCCGAAACTTGGCGCTGCAATCGGCGCAATCTTTTATTCTATCATTCTTGGGTAGAAGCCATTTTGACGTTGCCCTCATGAGAAACAAACCTTTAAACTTCAACTTGTTTTCCTTTTAATTCCTATATTTCGTTACGCTTTGAATGTCATGTCGTTTTTTTTTTTTGAATGGTCGTTAATAACAAATTTTAATTAACAAATGAATTTGTGTAGTGTTGTGCGGTTCATATTTAGTGTATGTGTTAAAAATGCAATCCCTGAACGTTGTTTTTTATGTGGTGTTAAATATAATGCAGGTACCACTTATTTTTTTAACGTTCCTCAATGTCCGCGTAAGGAGCGTTGCGAAAGCAGAGCTGCAGCGAAATTCCTTGCTGTGTGCTAAACATTTTAAATCAGTAGATTTCATAAATGTACCGGGAGCTCCTGGAAAAGCACGGTTGATGCCAAGTGCTGTTCCTATGACACTTATGCCGGAATGTCCCTCCAACAACACAATATTTCATGATTCAATGATCGGATCTAAACCAAATTAGTATGAGACACTACCTTTCCGTTGCAAAAAGAATTGTCGAAATCGGTTGACGCGGTCCAAAGTTATGCGGTAACATTCATAAAAAAAAATAATAATAATAAAATAAAATAAAAAAAAATATTCCGACGAACTGAGGTTATCAGGTTATCCTTTTTTGGAAGTCGGTTAAAAATAAACTTAAAATTTACTTAAAAACGTCAACCAGTGCAATGTAATTTTTTATTTTTCCTTACACACGCTCGTTTTTCTTTTTACTCTCCCGAAAACTTTGACATTTGTAGGTTTGGCGTCAAATTGGCTTCTACCTGTTTTTATTGTACCATGCTCTAAAATATTTGTATCATGGTTTTTGTTTTCGATATTCTTTAGTTCTGGGGTGGCAGCGGAAAAATTCGAAAAGTTAATTTTTCTGTATATTTTTGGACCCCCGTTATATATAAAGGGCAAATTTAATACAACATGTACAGACAATGTAACTTGTCTCCTATTCTGTTCTAATTTGATTTTGTTTTAATTTTCCACTTTCAGCTTACGAAGCCAACAAAAAGGAGCGGCGCAGGCGAAGTGTCGAATGTATTAAACTCATTACCGGAGATGCAATGACCAGGCCCAATCATGCATACCGGACTACGAAATGCAATTAGACTGTCGGTACGTCGAGCAGCCATCAATACAAGCAACAAGAACTACGCAGTGCGAGTAACGGCAGAGCGATGAGTTTGCTGTAATAACGATTTCCTAGTATTTCACAGCGCGCGGGGCTGTTAGAATACATACTTACATATGTATGTATGTAGTACGTATATCGTGTATTGTAGCCTAGGGTACTTCTTACCTAAATGTCAAACTTTGATCTGGCAAGGATGAAATCGATGCTGCTATGGTGATTCTGTGGAAACTTTCAGGGCATTTCAAAGTATTTTGGGATATGGACAACAATATAGCGTATGGGATTACATTGAAAAGCTACACTCTTTAGTTCGATTAAAATTCTGGTGGAGTAACAAACCTACGTTTTCGGTTATGCAATCGGGGGCGTAAGTGAAATACTGCACTGCTCTTAAGTATTCTTGCCATGAGTTTTGCAATCAGAAGTCCATTAAATTTATTAGTTGCTATTGTGTCATTTAGCAGAATTTCATCTTATGCGCGTATCTACAGGCGGTGGCGTAATTTATTTCTTTAACTGACTTTACCCTCTAGCAACAGTCAGTTTTCCGTTATGATGATTAAACCGGCTAACCGAGCGCACAAATAAATAACAACAAAAATAAATAAAGTACAACGTACAATAATTTAGGTAAAATGGCATCGTTGTCGGAAATTAACACCACAGCAGCAACGACACCCAACGACGCCATTGACCCAGCGCCGGAAGACAACTTCCGACCATACGATGCCGGCATTGGCGTCGCGTTAAATGGCAGTGAGGACAGTGAAGACAGCGACTGGTTGAACAACCTCATGGTGCGCATTTGGAGTCCACTTGAAAGTTCGAACACAAATGGGACCCAAACGACGAATGTGTCCTCAATGAATTCTTCTCCTACTGATAATCAAACCGTCGCATTAGCCGACAACGTCAGCAATACGTTTTATACATGGACATCCGCATCTAGTGGGTCGGACTCCTATTTGGATTCCAATGCATCCACAGTATTCGTTATCACTTGTAGCTCACCGCTGGCAACAGATACAAAGCCAACAAACGGAAATAAAATAGGAAATGAAGGGGGTTGCTTCTATGACGACAACGAAGCAAACACTGGTGTAATGCCTAATACTTACACCACGTCACCAAAAGTGCTGTCCGATGTTGACCTTCGAGCAACGGAAGCTACTGGTTTCGCGGCTGGTGAAGCAGAAGACGATATAAATTTTGCTTTGATCGATAGTGCGGAAACGGCGCTAGGCGGCGACACCGATTATGAGACTATAGAAGGCTTTAATGGTGGCATTGTAGGCGATGGAGTCGGGAGCAAGATTGAGGTGAAAGTGAATGGAGTTGATGAGGACACAGCCATGGTTCGGCATTCAATACCGTACGAAAGTTACGGCTCAACCAGAAACGATTCGTATTTTCCTAGTTTTGATGGCGGTGGAACGGGCGCGTCGCCGATCGAAAATGGAATAAATGCAGTAGCAGGGGATAAGAGTGGAAGTACATTTATGCTGCTGCTCGAAGACTTCGGAGATTATTTTTATAATTTTAACGGAACCGGTAGTGGTGTCGGTGACGGTGTCGGGATTTCGGATACACAAGCCACATTAAGTACTTTGAATGTCACTGATTTAATTATTCGAACTAATTGCTCAAACATAACTGATTTATGTGTCGTATCAAGTGAAGAAGGTAAGCTAAGTATGTACATATATGCATGAGAACTTAGTTTTAGGCCGATTTCGTTTCTACCCTCTTTGCCCTCTACGCACAAACATTAAGAGAAGCGCGATGAGAGGGCAACATTTTTTATAGAAACGAAAATGTCATATTATATATATAAGGTATATTTAAGGGCACTACTTCATAAATATTTACAGGACAGATTCGTAATTACCCAGTGGGAAAATGTAATGTATAGTAATTGAAAAAATAATCAGTAATAATTTTCACATTCGAAAATGCATTTTTGCCCCAAGGCGACGTCCTAAGAAAAGTATTTTGTATTATCTAGTATCGAGAAATGAATGTGTTTTAATTTGAAATTTTTGGAACTGTTTGAATACATTAGAATGCTTATTACATAGTTAGCAGTAATATAATCGAGAACTCATAAGAAATACATTATATTATTTATCACGCATGTAATGTATTACTACTTTTCCGACTGGGTAAGTTTGGAAGTTTATCGTTTGCTTTTGATTTTACCTTCAATTACTCTTCTAATTTGTTTCGCTTTGGCAGCTGAATTCGATATCATTCGGATGAAAATTAGGGAAGACAACGATGTGTTGGTAATTGACATGGTGATTGAATCTGAATTACCTAAAAATTAAGTATATAATTCTCCAGGATTTTTTGTGGGAAATTGACTAATGCAGAGCATAATTTCTGGGCGAGAGCGTGAATAACGAAGGAATTACTAATGTCCCTTACGTGGAAAATCTTAATTTAATTTTTATNCCTAAAAATTAAGTATATAATTCTCCAGGATTTTTTGTGGGAAATTGACTAATGCAGAGCACAATTTCTGGGCGAGAGCGTGAATAACGAAGGAATTACTAATGTCCCTTACGTGGAAAATCTTAATTTAATTTTTAATTTATTTTTTAAGTTAATTTTTCAAATATATTTGAAGCTAAAAGTCCTTCCCCAACCGCGGTTTCCATCGTACAAGAGGCGAAGTCGCTGGATTTCGTTGCAAAGCTCATACAGCTCATCGTTAGGTATTCGCCATCGCCAACGCACAAAGGCATGCAAATCTTCCGCAGAAACTTTCTATCGAAAACTCTAAGAACCCTCTAATTAGATGTTTTCATTGTCAGTGCTTCTCGCCGTACACCAGCGTTGGTATGATGAGTGACTTATAGAGTGTGATTTTTGTTCAGACCAAAGCAGCACTTGTTCGCAAGAGTGATCCTCCGTTAGATTTCAAGGCTGAGAATATTTTTGGCAATAATTCTGGTTTCTAAATAAACGAAGTCGTCTACGTTTTCGAAGTTATAACTGTCAATAGTGACGTAGGAGCCGAGGCGCGAATTCGAAGAAAGTTTGCTTAGTGAATCTACTTCATTTTATAGTTGCTCGCCTTCAAACCCAATCGGTTAACGGTTGATAAGACTGATGATATTGATATCACGGTGATTCCTGATTACTTTCATACCAAAAGTTCTCTTACCCCCTATTTTGTTCTGAGTGTGTTTATGGTAAGCGTAAGAAACTGTTTCTAGTTATGTACCTTGTTTAAACCAACACATAAAGCGCTTTGACCCAGTTCGCTGTGATTCAAAACGGAAGCATAAACCAACTTTCAATACGCTCAGAAATTCGAAAGTGTGTTGACTCGAATTTTTTTTCAAATCGCTTTTTTATTTCTCACATCGGTTAGAAAACAGGTATAAACACATCACTCATTTGACGCGAAGTGAAAAAAGGCTGGTTTTCTTTATACATCCCGTTGTGAATTTGAATTATTATTATAACAAATTTGAATTGTTGTTCGCTTCCATTTCGGTACACCGCGCAAAGTAATTATTTAAGAAATAACAATAACAAATTTTGGTTACTTTTGAATACGGTTCCAGCGAGTGCTCTATAACGACACAGGTATAAATAGGGATGCAAACGCCGCATGGATATTTTTGAAACATCGATAATATCGGTTCAAAATTCGATGTTTGCCATCGATGTTAACAATTTCCTAAAATCGCTAAATTGACGATATATCGATGCGAGTTACAGCGATGTTTTAACATCGACTTTAGTGTGACTCAGACTTGAATTCAACTTACCCAATGCTCCTAAAATTTTTTGATCGGCAATGAATTTTTTAACTTATTCTTTTGGGGAAAATTCAGAAATTGCGAGTGTACTCTTATCTTTCGATATTAAAAATGCTTACTTACGACGGCATGCATTTTTATTACATTTATAGGAAGGGTAAAGGAATGATAAATAAATACAGGGAAATATGTACATCCATATGTAAGTACTTTTTTAATTGAATTACAGACAGTTGTGTAATGTGACTAAAACCTAACAAATTTTGTAACATCAGAAACCATCGATATATCGATGTTTTTCTGGCGATGTATTTTAGAATTTATGTTCATTTTTCCGATGCATCGAAACATTGATGTATCGATGTTACTCCTCAAAATTTGCTCCCTAGGTATAAATGCTTGAAAGAAATATGTGTTGAGGCAAATCAGCTTTTTGTTAATGCGGTTCTTGCGTAGGTATAAACAAGGTAATATTTAAAATCCCTCACTGGGCAGGTTTTGAAAAAAAAATAAAATAAACGTTTGGTGGTCATTTGCGCTTAAAATAACCTAACGAAAGTGTTATGTCCGTGAAGAAGTTCTCCAATTGTACAGCATCTCATAGCACGGTTAATCGCAAAACGGAGGCAGATGCAGGATTCCCATACAAAACAGGGCTAAATTACTTTACCATATCAATTCTAATTTGAACATACTTATGTAAATTTGTATGTATGCTTCAGGGATGTTGCGAATATTTGCATTCGCATTCGTTATGCGAATGATTCGCATAATTTTACACATTCGCATTCGACATTCGCATTCGTATCAAATGATACGAACGTTTTGCGAATGCGAATGTCTACATGGGCAGAGAGTCCACTCTAATATTGTTGAACTGGCTCTAAGTCTGTCTAGCCTGGGTGCGGACAATAACCGGCTTTTAGCTTCAGGCGCTAAACGGTTAAGTAGTATATCAAGCAACATTGACGGGGCTTAAACAAGAACTATTAAATGTCTTATAAGCAACCTAGAAATAATTTTAGATTCCTCCAGCGAAAGCGAAGGCTCGGATGTAGAATCTGGAAACATTAAAAAATGTGAAATTTAAACTCAATTGAAGGCCTATCTTAAAGAAAAACATGCTCATCTCGGTGAAAATCCTCTCGATTGGTGGAAAACCAAACCAAAATACGACAAATTGACAGATCTGGCCCGCAAATACTTGAGCGGTCCACCCGCCAGCGTTCCAAGTGAGCAATTGTTCAGTGCAGCCAGCTTCTAAGAAATCACCTCATGGGAGAAAAAATTACTTTTTTTGAAATATAATATGCCCCTTTTGAACTTTGACTACTAGATTAAAGCACTGTATAGGTTAAGCACTCGTTCAATGTTCTAATAATTTACAAAATTATTGACTTAAGTTGATTATAGCTTTTTTAATGATATTCCTAACATTCGCATTCGCATTCGCATTCCGAAAATTCGCATTCGTATTCGCGAATGTATTCAAATCTAATTCGATTGATTGAATGTTGATCTGTTGAACTAATGTAGTTGAGTTTTGTTCTGAAGCATGAAGGGGAACAGACATTTCTTTTTGTTATTTGTTCTGCATGCTACTACAGCAGTGATGGGCAGCGTTGGCAGAGCTCCATAAACATGTGCAAAACTATTGTACTACAGCGATGTCAAATTAGGTTTCTGCTGCGCAGCGGCATCTTCTTTTTTCACGAACTTCATCTTTCGGGTTGTTCCACACGCTTTTCGGGCTGTTTCGGTAATTAGAGCGTTAAAATAAGTTAATCTCTCCCAAGTGTCAAGATCGTGTCGACCCGTGCCAGAAGTGACCAGAGCGTGAGGAACGCAAAAAACCACTTTTCGTGACCGTAATCAACAAATTAGTTCTAAACAATGATTTTATGTGTATTTATCTTATATAGCTAATGATATTTGCAAATACCTACATTTCTGAAGCTTTAGTGCTGTCCATTTTTGTATTTTTCAAAATTTGCTATCGGATGTAAACAAACAACAGCGGTTGTTTCAAATTGACTTCTTGCACATTTCTGGCCGGCAAAAAAGTCCGGGCACGAACAAGAAGACATATACGATCCAAAAGTGGAAGGTATTCGCTCTCTATCACCCATTTTTCTAGCGTGAGGAATGCTTTCTGGGCTGATTTGGGCACCCGCGGGCTCGTGTGGAACAAACCTATTATGAAATAAGGAACATCTGAAGTTCAATGTATGCCACGCCAAGAAGCTTACAGGGCATGATACAAAAAAGAAGGTAGTTTCAATAAATAACTTTTTGACGGATACTGAGATTTTTGAAGCTTCATAATTTGTTAATGTTGCTAGCAGCGTTACCATATTGTTAACATTTAAAAATGAATTACGGAATATCGAGATGGGAATTTCTTTCACAGAAAAGGGGTGTAAATATTTTAGTCTTCTAGATGAAACGAAACATATGTATTGAAAATATGTACATACAAAGAATGCAATTTTACCTCGAAATGCAACGGATAAAGGCATACATATGTGCTTACGTTTTTATTTAATAAATTCAACAAACCATGAAGGCGTTATTTTTCTCATCTTTCTATTTTTTTATTTAGTTTTATTCTCTTTTAACTTTAGATTTAAAGTCCTTTTATCGAGAGTTACATTTGAATTGTACAATAAATTAAAAAAAAAATCGGCTTTGTTAACTTTTCACCATCAATGTTGAGAACATATATACAGATATTTTAGAAGGCTTTCCTTGCTCACGCCGCAGGCGGCCATTTTTGTCTCACAAAAGGAAGCCGTGGAAATTTTAAAAATTTTGTACCGTCTTCCATGCAGTGGTATTTTGTATTTTTGCAGCTTCCAAATGCGCAACTAATTTTTGTTATAATAATTTTATTTTTTGCTTTGCCGACCAAATTTTTTCCGACTAAAATTTTATTATAATTTTCAAACTGGTAGCTTGATTTTGNAGTTCTAAACAATGATTTTATGTGTATTTATCTTATATAGCTAATGATATTTGCAAATACCTACATTTCTGAAGCTTTAGTGCTGTCCATTTTTGTATTTTTCAAAATTTGCTATCGGATGTAAACAAACAACAGCGGTTGTTTCAAATTGACTTCTTGCACATTTCTGGCCGGCAAAAAAGTCCGGGCGGTTTCGGGCACGAACAAGAAGACATATACGATCCAAAAGTGGAAGGTATTCGCTCTCTATCACCCATTTTTCTAGCGGGAGGAATGCTTTCTGGGCTGATTTGGGCACCCGCGGGCTCGTGTGGAACAAACCTATTATGAAATAAGGAACATCTGAAGTTCAATGTATGCCACGTCAAGAAGCTTACAGGGCATGATACAAAAAAGAAGGTAGTTTCAATAAATAACTTTTTGACGGATACTGAGATTTTTGAAGCTTCATAATTTGTTAATGTTGCTAGCAGCGTTACCATATTGTTAACATTTAAAAATGAATTACGGAATATCGAGATGGGAATTTCTTTCACAGAAAAGGGGTGTAAATATTTTAGTCTTCTAGATGAAACGAAACATATGTATTGAAAATATGTACATACAAAGAATGCAATTTTACCTCGAAATGCAACGGATAAAGGCATACATATGTGCTTACGTTTTTATTTAATAAATTCAACAAACCATGAAGGCGTTATTTTTCTCATCTTTCTATTTTTTTATTTAGTTTTATTCTCTTTTAACTTTAGATTTAAAGTCCTTTTATCGAGAGTTACATTTGAATTGTACAATACATTAAATNCTTTAGATTTAAAGTCCTTTTATCGAGAGTTACATTTGAATTGTACAATAAATTTAANTTTAGTTTTATTCTCTTTTAACTTTAGATTTAAAGTCCTTTTATCGAGAGTTACATTTGAATTGTACAATACATTAAATAAAAAAATCGGCTTTGTTAACTTTTCACCATCAATGTTGAGAACATATATACAGATATTTTAGAAGGCTTTCCTTGCTCACGCCGCAGGCGGCCATTTTTGTCTCACAAAAGGAAGCCGTGGAAATTTTAAAAATTTTGTACCGTCTTCCATGCAGTGGTATTTTGTATTTTTGCAGCTTCCAAATGCGCAACTAATTTTTGTTATNAGTGGTATTTTGTATTTTTGCAGCTTCCAAATGCGCAACTAATTTTTGTTTTTGTTATTTTAACAAATAATTTTATTTTTTGCTTTGCCGACCAAATTTTTTCCGACTAAAATTTTATTATAATTTTCAAACTGGTAGCTTGATTTTGATGAAAATGTCAAAATCTCAGCAAAAGTCAAATGGATACCATGGCTGCTAATGTCATTAAGTGAAAGTACCTTCTTTTTCCTACCATGTTACAGGGAGCATGTGCCGATATCGAAGCAAGCAGCATTTTGAAGTAAAAAAAACAGTTGTTAAACGAAATACTTAACGTACAGTGTTTCCGTGGAAACACAATGCCAGCGAACGGCGAACTCACCACAGGGAAGTTCCCGCTGTCAAAATTAGAACACCCGCCAGCATATGAAATTGAACACAGCCAAAGCGAAATGCGAAGTTTGTTCGGCGGCGTTTCGTGGCGATAGATTTATTGCGGGGCACCGAAATAGCGCATATGGAAACTGTGCATTTAGACATTATTGCGGGGGCACCGAAATTGCGCATATGGAAACTTCGCCGTTCGCCGGGTATTGTGTTTCAAGCATTAGGAAAGCCTGCCTCAGCGAATACAGCTGATACTATTTTGTCGCCTTTATAATTTGGGTGACCATATTTAGAAAAAACCAAACCATATTTAGAAATGAGGAAATGATAACAAATATAAATGGAGAACAAAGAGAAATTATTATAAAATATTTTATTTCAAGCCAGATTTAACGAATCCACAACTTTCAAACAACAAAAATAATTCGTGTTTATGTTCTTTTCTTTCAAAACTTTGAAAAACAAAAATAAATACGGTAAGTTTTAATACGTACAGCTACTATCGCCCAGTAGAGCGAGCGAACTTCGCATTTCGCTTTGCCTGTGTTCAGTTCCATATGCTTGTGGGTGTTCTAATTTTGACAGCGCGAATTTCGCTATGCTGAGTTCGCCGTCATTGTATTTCAGCTATGAAGCTGGCAAATGTACTTTTTTTATTTTTGAGCCGTGATAGCTGAGTATAAATATAGAAGAGAATGGAGAGCAATATGGGGCTTGTTGATGCTCTTTAAACACCAACGTTTGAAAGGCAAACGGTCTAGCAATGCATGGTATTGTTGATCAACTTAATACTTTAATTAAACATACTTATTATTAAAATTTCATTTGAAAACATTATGGTACAAATATGTCACTTTAAAACTTGAATCATAGAAATGTTTGGTTGACATTCATAAAAAGGAAGAAATTATCAATTCGTCGAGTTCTATATGTTCGGGAATAATGCTTTAAACACAATACCCGGCGCACGGCGAAGTTCCCGAATTGGGCGAAGCCGTCGTTCACCGTTCGCCCTGCTTTTTCGCCTACTTTAATTAACTTAGGTGACCATATTTGAAAAATTAATCCATATTTAATATATATATATTTAAATATAAAAACATATAAGGCAAGGGGGAGTTATTATAATTATTTTATTTTAAGCCAGATTTAACGAATCGATCACTGTATTTTTCAACCAACACAAATAATTCGTGTTATATGTTGTTTTCTTCTAAATCCGCCGAACAAACTTCGCAATTCGCTTCGGCTGTGTTAAATTTCATATGCCGGCGGGTGTGCTAATTTTGACATTTGCATTGTGTTTCCTCGGTAACTTATTGGTTTGTGATTCTCATACAAACGGTCGTGGTGTGATTATAATTACCACGTTAGCTTAACTACAGAATTTTCTGTTGTACAAAGATTGAAACTTGGTTTTATGTGGTTTTTGTTAAAGAATAAGGCAAATAAATTGTCAAATATTGTCAGTATGTAAGTGTTGTATAGTTATGATAAGCACTATACTACTTTGTTAAGAGACAGTCGAAGTCGATCAGTTTCAATCGGATGCTCCAATGGACAAATTTTCCGACGATGTTGCCAAAAATCTATTGTTTTCACTGTGGCACTGAAATCAGTCTCCCTTTTGCTCCTTTACATGGCAGCTGTGTTAGACGTCGCAAGGCGTCACTTTTTTCTTTACTAACCCAGTCCACTCCATAATTGGGATGACGGTGAGGTCGGCTTTATTTCTTTTATAGGCATCAACCAACCGCTCAAAAGCAACTTCCCCACTAAGGATTGGGACATATCCAAAAAACATAGTCCATCGAGATGCATCGGAGGTTGGAGGCCGTACCTCCGAGTGAAAAAGCCGAATATGTTCGAGTGGCCTCACTAAAGCTCCCTCTTTTCCGGCCGTGACTCAAAGACTCTTCGCAGATTGGTTACCACACTCGTGCATAGGCTGTTCTCTTGTCTATAGTGCGGTAACGTGGACTGAAGAGTAGGAATTGAATGATGTCGAGCAATCGTAGCTGCATACCCAGAGGCCCCATTTTCTATATTTAATTTGTTTTTTTATTTTTATTTGTATCGAAAGTTACCATTATTAATATTTGTTTTTTATGTAACACTAAATACAAATGAGACACATTTGTAGAGAAATGCTCTGTCCATTTTAAAACAACAGTATTCCTAAAAGTTATATAAATAAATATGTATCTCGAACGATTTCTCATGTTTTGTACTCTTTGTTTTTTTGTTTTCATTTCAGTTCTTCCAAATTATTGGGCGCTTTTGTTAATGGTGTTTCCTTTGGTGACATTGTTTGGCAATATTTTAGTTATTCTATCAGTGTGCCGCGAACGATCTCTACAAACGGTTACAAATTATTTTATTGTGTCATTAGCGATAGCCGATCTATTAGTTGCTGTAGTGGTGATGCCGTTTGCGGTTTATGTTCTGGTAAGTCGTGAACACTGCTTTTATTTAAATACATACAATGTACATACATACGTACGTTAAATGTTCATTAGGCCGTGTCACAAAACCGGGATTTAATATATGACTCTGCCAGTTAAAAATATAACAGAAACTAAAAACTCTTCAGTGTGTAGTTTTTAGTCAATTTTAAAGGTAGTTCAAACTAAAACACCAAATCTGGCTGGGTTATACCGAGGTTCAACTAACAGCTGCTGTGTTGTTTATTTACTAGGGTTAATAGGGACCTTCACCCATCAGTTTAATGGATGAAATCTACTTTGTATGAAATTTAGCGTGCTAGAAATTATTTTGCGAGGGGATTGGCTGGAAGAGTCCTGGCCAGGATTAAATATACAAACATTTTTATATTTTTTTTTTTTTAATTTTGTACTCATTTTTAATGAAGAAATTATATACCAATCGGAAGCATAAAGCCAATAAAATGTGTTAAATAGATGCGTGAAAATTACTAGTATTACCTACCAGTTTATACCTGCCAATCCGATAGGTATGCCAGGAAAAAAATAGACAACCCAACGTTTTCACATTCTATAGGCTTCATACTTTCGATTGGTATATAATTTGTTCATTAAACAAATGAGTACAAAATTAAAAAAATTATAAAAATGTTGGAATATTTAATTAAAAATATCCTGGCCAGGATTTTTTCGGCCAACCCACTCGCGAATATTTATTTATTCACTCGTTATATTTCACACAAAATAGATTTAATCCATTAAACGGATGGATGAAGGTCCTGCCCTTTTCGGATCTTAGACTAATATACTATGTGTGAACATATTTTGAAATACTGTTGGCATTAATGGATCGATTTTTTATTAAATTATTTAATTTTATTAAATTTATTCAGATTAGAGTTAATCACGAATAAATTATTTTTAATTAAACAAGTCATCGTAATCGTGATTAAGGAACAAATTTTTACTCAATAACTATTAATTTGATTAAGCAGAATCGGTGACGAATTAGTTTATACTGGAATTGTCTTGTGCAATCAAGGTGGGTTGATCAGGTTTGATTAAATCGATTTCCCTCGTCATTGTAAGGTATTTGGTATGAATTTTTATTGTGATCTGTTATAAACAAACGTCGTGAGAACTTGGTTTTAATATATCATCGCCTCTCATAAAAAATTTTCACTTTCGAGTTGCATCCCTTAATAGGGATAAAACGATACCATGGTAGTATCGATACCTGTACTTGGAAGTAGTATCGAAAGAAAGTATCGATACCTAGTAAGTATCGGGCTAAAAGTATCGATACCTACTTATATCGATATTTTTACCTATATAAGAATTACAGCCGTATTCTAACAAAGTCACAAACTTGAGCTCATCACTGCTGTGATTTCTACTGCGCCTCAAAGCTTGCCGCTGCAAAAAATATGCCGCTACAATACAAATTTTTAAATTTTTGTGTATTTTTCAGCACTCAAAATCGAATTTTTTGTGACACATTTCTCGGCGCACTAGAAATCACAACAGTGATGAGCTAAGTTTTGTGACTCTGTTAGAATAGAGGGGTTAGTTGCGTTCCCTAACTCCTAAGAAGAAATTGCGAGAATTTACAGGAATTTACCAGAAAGCGTTCCCGTACTCGGTTCTCTGGCAAAGTAGAGGAAAAGTGGGAGAGTAAAATCGGTCGTCTCTTTGTCAGAAGTTGCAAGGTTTTACCCAAACAATTTTTGCTGGTAAAATCTTGTAAGTGTCAAACCACCAGCCATTCAAACGATTGAAAATTGAATAAGCAAAAACAAAAGTACATACATCTGTATTAAATATATCGTAGTGAAGAAATATAAAGGTCTGTAAGTATTTTTGTAATTTTCTAGTATATTTGCGTATAATTTAGCAGATCGCCAAATGATAAAAAAAAACGTCATGTAAACAAAAAATGGCGTGAATTTTGGCAAAATAACTTATGTGACTATAATTTTTGATTTTAGACGAATTGCAGATACTTAAACTTTTTAATCAAAACTTTAAGGTTTAAAACATGATTTACTTTTAGGATGGCCTCCAAAAAACCAGAAAAAAGTGCAAAGTCCAACAAGTTGTTTTTTAAAAAGTCCCCAAAATATTGTTAACAGAATTCGTTTCTTTTGCATGTACGTATTTTATTTGTAATACTTAATATTTATTTTGTACAAAGAGAAAGCGATTGAGATAAAAAACAATTATTTAATAATTTATTTCATACAAATGAATTAATTAATAAAAGTCTTCCTGTATTATAACACTGTTCTACAGCAGTTTTGCAAAGTAACAGTGGTATATTTCTAAAAGAAATAATTATGTTGATAATAGAGTGAAAAGTTGCTAAGTCCATTTGTAGAAAATTTAAAGGGGAGGAAAAAACTTTTGAAATCANATTATTTAATAATTTATTTCATACAAATGAATTAATTAATAAAAGTCTTCTGTATTATAACACTGTTCTACAGCAGTTTTGCAAAGTAAAAGTATTTCTAAAAGAAATAATTATGTTGATAATAGAGTGAAAAGTTGCTAAGTTTTTTCCTTCAAGATTTTTGCAGAAGGTTCCATTGCAAATTAAAAGATTTAGCATTCTTTGTGAGCTAATTGATTTTTCTATGCCTCTTTTGGACTTAGTAAATTTGCCTCTAATCTATATATATAAAAATTAAATGTTTTTCGTATGACCGCGATGCCTGACCAAACGGCTGAACCAATTACAATCCTGTGAAAAGCACATTTTTGGACCTTCTGTGTGGAAGGTTTTTTGATTTTNGTTTTTCGTATGACCGCGATGCCTGACCAAACGGCTGAACCAATTTCAATCCTGTGAAAAGCACATTTTTGGACCTTCTGTGTGGAAGGTTTTTTGATTTAAAAAAATTTTAAATTTTTTGTTGTTGCTGCCGAAAAATGAAGAAAGCTGAGACGTCACGATTTCACAATTTCATACAGTTTTCTGTACATTGAATGTCACTAAACTACTTAACGGCTGGACCGATTTGGTTCATATTTGGAACATATATCAGTACCTTGAAAAGAAATATTTCTACAAAAAATTTGCTCGCTAGGTTGCGCTGGGGTCAGAATATTCCTAAAAATTACATTTACTTGCTGATTTGGCTCATATTTAGAAATCAATTTAGTCAATTGAAAATAAATATTTGGACTTGAAACTTACACGATAGGTGGCCCTGTGGCCGAGACATCCCCAAAAATTATTTTACGCTAAGAGAAGGATATCTACTATATATTTGTATGTATGTATGTGCCAGGTTGCAGTCTAAACGGACGGACAGAATCGAACAAAATTTTGACAGAGCATTGCCATGACACCTGGGCCTATAATAGGGTGAAAAAATTGGGATCCGACAAGGGGGCGTCGCACATCCCATAGGTGTGGAATTTTTTATCAGCCATAACTTCGGAACCATAAGTCCCACGAACTTAATTTTGGTATGCAGACATTTCAATGGTAGGTGCTTATAGGAGGGTATATAAAAACGAGTTTGTAAAAGGGGGCCTGGCAAATCCCAAAGGCGTGGAATTTTGTATCAGCTATAACTTCGGAACCACAAGTCACACAAACTTGGAATTTGGTATACAGACATATCAATGGTAGGTGATTATACGAGGGTATAAGGGGCGTGGCACATCCCATAGGTGTGGAACCTTTATCAGCTATAACTTCGGAACCACAGTTCACACGAACTTGAAATTTGGTATGCAGACATATCAATGGTAGGTGATTATACGAGGGTATATATAAACGAGTTTGTGAAAGGGAGCGTTGCACATCCCATAGGCGTGGAATTTTTTATCAGCCATAACTCCGGAACCATAAGTCCCACGAACTTTAAATTTGGTACGCAGAAATATCAATGGTAGGCGCTTATAGGAGGGTATATATAAATTAGGTTGAAAAGGGGGCGTGGCACATCCCATAGGTGTGGAATCTTTATCAGCTATAACTTCGGAACCACAAGTCACACGAACTTGAAATTTGGTATGCAGACATATCAATGGTAGGTGAATATACGTGGGTATATATAAACGAGTTTGTGAAAGGGGGCGTCGCACATCCCATAGGCGGGGAATTTTTTATCAGCCATAACTTCGGAACCATAAGTCCCACGAACTTAAAATTTGGTATGCAGACATTTCAATGGCAGGTGCTTATAGGAGGGTATATATAAACGAGTTTGTAAAAGGGGGCGTGGCATATCCCATAGGCGTGGAATTTTTTATCAGCTATAACTTCGGAACCGTAAGTCCCACGAACTTGAAATTTGGTATGCAGACATTTCAATGGTAGGTGCTAGGGCGTGGCACATCCCATAGGCGTGGAATATTTTATCAGCCATAAATTTGGTATGCAGACATATCAATGGCAGGTGCTTATGCGAGGATATATATAAACGAGTTTGTAAAAGGCGCGTCGCACATCCCATAGGTGTGGAATATTTTATCAGCTATAACTTCGGAACCACAAGTCACACGAACTTGAAATTTGGTATGCAGACATATCAATGGTAGGTGTTTGTACGAGGGTATATATAAACGAGTTTGTGAAAGAGGACGTGGCATATTCCATATTCGTTGAAATTTTTATCAGCTATAACTTCGGAACCATATGTCGCATCAACTTGAAATTTAGTATGCAGTCATATACATATTTGGTAGGTGCTTATAATAAGGTCTATATAAATGAGTTTATAAAAGGGGGCGTGGCGCATCCCATAGGCGTGGATTTTTTATCTATAACTTCGGAACCATAAGCCCCTCGAACTTGAAATTTAATATGCAGACATATCAATGGTAGGTACTTATAGGAGGGTATATATAAACGAGTTTGTAAAAGGGGGCGTGGGATATCCCATAGGCGTGGAATTTTTTATCAGGTGTAACTTCGGAACCATAAGTTGCACGAACTTGAAATTTGGTATGCGGGTATAGCTATGGTAGGTGATTTTATAAAGATAAATA